TAGATTGTTATCAAATGGACATTTTAGACTCGTCGAAAGAATCATTTTTTTATTCATGTTAGTCTTATAAAACTTGAGTTGATCAACAATGTATTATATTGTTCAGTTTTTAATTTAAAAGAAAGGATATTTTTGGATTGTTGGTTTCAAATATTGATGCATTGAATGCATAAAAAAAAATTTTTTTTATCGAGTGCCTCGTAAACTCGATGATCTCATAATTCTTCTATTAATAATGTATCTTACTATTCGTGTATCATCTGATGTTGTTATTTTATTTTCTTGACNTTTTTTATCGATTGCCTCGTATACTCGATGTTCTTAAATATTTATTATTGAATTATGTTTTAAATTTCTATCTAGAGAAATCATATTTTACCACCTATACGAAATCAAAATAATTCTCCTATTCGTCTTCGATCATCAGCAAGTGTACAAATATTACCAACTATAGGAGATAATCATATGCGATCATCACATTTATTTATTTATAAACCAATACAATTAAATAAACAATCATCAACAATTACAAGTGCTCGTACAACAGCATATTCAGATTTAACAGATAATTTTACATTTCTTACAGATTTATTTCGATCAGGTCTTCATTCAGATATAACAATATATTATCATGATCATCAATGGAATTTACATAAAAGTATTTTTTCAGCACGTTCAATTTATTTTAATCAATATTTTTTAAATTCAAATATAACAGAATTAAATTTATCTGATGATAATGAAATATTATCATCAATTATATTTGATAAAATGTTTTTATTTCTTTATACAAATCAATATAGATTAGAAAAACTTCCTCGTTTATCATTATTTGAAACAATTCGTTTATTATTTAATTTATCAATTAAATATGGTATTGATACATTAACATATATTTGTTTACAAGATATGTGTAATACATATAATTTAAATATAAATAATGCTGCATATCTTTTAATTGCTCTTCATCAAGCATTGAATGGTCCATATGAAAAATATCATTCAAATGATTATTTAATAAAAATAAAAAATTTAAAACAAAATATTTTACGTTTTATTCAATTACATTCACGTGAAGTTCTTCTTTCATCACAATGGAAATTACTTGAAAAACATTATCCATATCTTGTTCATGATGTTTTTGAAAAAATACAAGAATAAATTTAATACAATATTAATAAAGTAATGTGTATGTTTGATGACTTGCAAGAATATTTTTCGAATAGTTGACGAAAGAATTATTCCAAATGATAAATCATTTTTGAGTTCAAATTCTGTGTATAAGGTAAAACTTAATAAGATATGAAGAATTCCAAAAAGATCAATACTATTAAGTGTTTTCCCTCTGGAGTTATAACTATTTTAATTGAATTCCAGCTGCTAACGAGGGAAGTCTTCCAACTGACTAAATCGCTTTTAAGTTGAGACTATATGCATTATGTAGATCCAAATGACCTATGAATACCTTGACAAAGAAATGTTGCGGAGGTACTGCACTTTTACAGTATTTTTTAAATGAATGTCGCGGTAACAGGAAAACTAATTTTCCAATTTCGACTTGAAACTTTCTATAGAGACAGGTCTTAATGAAAATAAGTTTTTGTGAGCGTTTCAGATCTTGTCATTGTTAATATCTTAAGATACAGCTATTTTTACAATAAACTATTCGAAT